CGGGGGATTATCGATTCTCTGGAGGCTTGATAGTATATCATGTCTCTTCAGTTTTCAAGGGGAAGGTTTTGTTGGATTGTGCGTGTTATGGAAAGGTAAGGTGTGTTTCTTCGTTAATGTTTATTCTTCCTATTTCAAGCTTCGAAGAGGAGATTATGGAGCGAGTTGATTGGTAAGAAGAATTCGATGAGGATTGGTGTATTGGGGGAGATTTTAATTCGGTTAAGAAGGTCGGGGAGAGGAGTAACAAGTCAGGGGGAAATTGTTCTAAGGAGATGGAGGATTTTTCAGATTTTATTGACAACTTGGATTTAGTGGAATTGTCAGTTGTAAGGAGTAAATTTACGCGGAGAAGGTCAGATGGCGACGTTAGTAATAGAATCAGCAAAATTCTTATTTCATCGGGTTTGGTTAAGATGTGGAACTGCAATGGTTTGGTAATAGGGCTAAGAGACGTATCAGATCATTGTCTGGTTTGGTTGAAGTACAAGGTTATTGATTGGGGGCCTAAACCTTTTATATTCGTTAAAGGTCGGTTTAAGCATGGTAATTTTTTAGACTTTGTAATGAAGGAATGGTCAAGTATCAAGGTGGAGGGAAAAAAGACTTATATTATGAAGCAGAAGCTTAAGATTCTAAAGGGGAGACTCAAATGGTGGAATAGAGAAGTCTTTGGTTGGGCGGATCTTAGCATAGATTCGGCTGTATCAGAGATGAATTTGATTTGGTTGACAACTTGTTGGTGTTTGTGGCTTCGAAAAAATAATGTTATTTTCAGGGAGGTGGGTTTAAATGTTGTGAAAACGTGTTATCAAATTAAATTAATGTCTGGGAATTGGGTTATTTTAGGATTGAAGAGTAGGAAGGTTTTGTTTCTCTATAATTGGTGAAGAAATCCTATTGAATATCTGAAGATACAATGATATTGTAATTTCTATTGAGCACTTTTTGTACTCCTTTTCAATCTAGTGCTTATTGGAAAAAAAACAATGGTAAATCTTGAAAATATGTCTACTTCGTAATTGATATTTTTTAAGAAATAAATATACTAATAGGAGTATAAGAGATACTCAATCTAATAAAAGAAAAAAAAAACGACAATAAAAATCCAAAATCGAATTAGCGAATACCATCAACGAGAGGATTAACAAACCAAAACATCCTAGAACAACAAATATGTAAATTTTAAAAGAATGATACTTTTATTAAATTCATTTGTGTATTATTATGATATTATGTCTACTACTTAAGAATGGCTAAAAAGTGGAGAAAGGTGGTTAAAATTATAAGGAAGTTTTTGTAAATCGGTGGTGATTGCGTTTAAATTCATTTCTTAGACATATGAGTTATTTTAAATAAATAAATATAGACTTGTATAAATTTTATGCTAGTAAATTGAGTTATATATTTATATGTGTGTGTGTGTGTGTGTGTGTGTGTGTGTGTGTGTGTGTGTGTGTGTGTGTGTGTGTGTGTGTGTGTGTGTGTGTGTGTGTGTGTGTGTGTGTGTGTGTGTGTGTGTGTGTGTGTGTGTGTGTGTGTGTGTGTGTGTGTGTGTGTGTGTGTGTGTGTGTGTGTGTGTGTGTGTGTGTGTGTGTGTGTGTGTGTGTGTGTGTGTGTGTGTGTGTGTGTGTGTGTGTGTGTGTGTGTGTGTGTGTGTGTGTGTGTGTGTGTGTGTGTGTGTGTGTGTGTGTGTGTGTGTGTGTGTGTGTGTGTGTGTGTGTGTGTGTGTGTGTGTGTGTGTGTGTGTGTGTGTGTGTGTGTGTGTGTGTGTGTGTGTGTGTGTGTGTGTGTGTGTGTGTGTGTGTGTGTGTGTGTGTGTGTGTGTGTGTGTGTGTGTGTGTGTGTGTGTGTGTGTGTGTGTGTGTGTGTGTGTGTGTGTGTGTGTGTGTGTGTGTGTGTGTGTGTGTGTGTGTGTGTGTGTGTGTGTGTGTGTGTGTGTGTGTGTGTGTGTGTGTGTGTGTGTGTGTGTGTGTGTGTGTGTGTGTGTGTGTGTGTGTGTGTGTGTGTGTGTGTGTGTGTGTGTGTGTGTGTGTGTGTGTGTGTGTGTGTGTGTGTGTGTGTGTGTGTGTGTGTGTGTGTGTGTGTGTGTGTGTGTGTGTGTGTGCGCGCGTGCGCGTGCGCGTGCGTGCGTGTGTGTGAGAGAGTCTATGGCACTTACACCAAATCTCAATCGTTAATAAAATTTAATCAAACATTCATATTAAATGAAATAAAAAAAATACATGATCATTTTTATTTTCTAAAAAAATATAATTCTTATGACTATATTTTTATAAAGGAGTTTGATAAAAATACATGATCATTTTTATTTTCTAAAAAAATACACGATCATTTTTATTTTCTAAAAAAATACACGATCATTTTTATTTTCTAAAAAAATATATATATTAATGAAATATAAAATTAACTAAAAAATATTTAAATGATAAAATTATTAGTTTACTATAAATTAAATTTTAAGATTTCAATGATAAAATTATTAGTTTACTAAAAAATATATATATTAATGACAAAATTGATATAATTAGTATTATGACTATATTTTTATAAAGGAGTTTGATAAAATTTAAAGGAATAAAAAGTGAAAAAAAACGGAATGGAAAGTAAAAGAGATAAATATTTAATAGAAAATTATTAAAAGGAAATAAGTGCTAAAAAAAACTAACAGTAATTAAAATATGGCACATGTACTATTTAACCTATAAAATAGGAAAATTTTAAATTTTAGTTTTAAATTTTAAATCTCTATAAATACACACTTGATTTACACTTAGAATTACAATACTTAATCAACAGCAACTACACATTATTGAGAGGGAGAAAACAGAAATCAATGGCTATAGAGAAGGAAAGTGCATTGTTACAGAATTTAGAAAATTCAGAAGAAGTTGTGATGAAAAAAAGAGTTATGGCTATTGAGAAGATCAATGGATATATGCAAAAATTGGAGATGGTGAAAAAGAAATTTGATCCATTACCTCATTTTACTTTGCATAGAGTGTTGTCTCAAATTTCTCCACAATTTTATAGTAAAGATGAGTTAACAGAGATAGAAAAAGTCACCCAAATTTTGTGTCAACAAACAAATCTACCTCTTATTTCACAAAGCAAAGTGGAAGGGGTGGAAGTCAGTAACTTAAAAAGGTGTCGCTCAAGTAACGAAGGTGATAACATGTTTAATGGAGAAAGAAGAGTGAAACCAAAGCTCGTAGTTAAGAAGAAACCAAACAATCATAAGAAAGAGTGTAAAACATTGTTCAGCACCGATCTCAGCTCTTACCACAACCGTCTTTCCATGCCAATTTCCCAAATTAAATCTGATTTTTTAACTGAAATAGAAAAGGCAACCTTAGAAACAAGAGATCAAGAGGGAAAACCGTCTTGTTTAAAGGTGGTTGTGTTAGATTCTGATTTTAATGAATTCTCATTATCTCTAAAGAAGTGGAATATGACCAGTTGTATTACTTATAATCTTGTTCAAGATTGGACAGATGTTTTATCAAAGAATAATTTTAAGGATTATCAAAAAATCGACATTTGGTCATTTAGGGTTAATGGCAAGTTATACTTCATCCTCGATACTAATGAGCCAGAAGAAATTGAAAAAAGTGGAAAACAGAACAATTCAATTGTAATTTCAAAAACGGAAGATAAACGAAGAAGTCAAAGGATGAAGACTGCTAACTCCAGATGGAAGGACTTTGAGTGAGGTATAAATGAAAGATGAGAGTATTCATTCACAATACATATTAATAGTTATAGGGTTATATTTCTACTTCGTTTAAGATGATATTTGTTATTATTGTTTCTTTTTGAAAAGTTATATATTTAAAAATTCTAGATTGTGTGTTTTCTTTCTTAGGAATAGGACTTCATGCATCGAATCAACATACATACTGCCAAAGAATTAACCTCATGCATGAATTCGTTAACAAGATAGTCATATTTATTATTGTGCATATGTGCACTTAGACATTAACCATTTTGAAATCAACAAAATAATTTTTATATGTAGCATAAAAATATCTCAACAAACGAAAACTTAATACTTTGGATTAAAAAAAATCATATTACTATCATATTATGAATGTCCTTCCACCACAAAGATAAAACCTGTTTTTGTTAGTGTCATAAATTGAAATTAATTTGCAGGCAACGTCACCATATTTGTATGTCAGTAGCTACTTCCAAACTGTATCATTTTCTTGAATCAACTCCATATCCATTTTGACAAAAGGACTCAATTAAAAATAAATAGATCCTTAACTCAAATACCACCTTGATCATTTGACTTACAAATTACAGACCAGCTAACCCAAGCCATCTTTTATGGTTATCACCAACACACAAGACCAAAAATTTAAAAGGTAGCGAACCTGATGTGGATACAAGAAAATGTGTAGCAGTAACCCTCTGGAAAGAAGTATCCAATGAAGATGCATCCGAGTTTAGATGACGATGATAATAATTAAACAAGCGAATAATGTCAAGGTACATGGTTACCTTTGGTTAGAATTCTAGAATGCATTAAGAACTTTAATCTTGTTATGAATGAATATTATTCTTTTGGCAACATTGTTGATGAAGGTTTCACTTAGGACTTAGAACCACAAATTGTGAGGAAACCTCCATTGTACACTAAATTTTGGATTCTAATAAAATTTGTTGATTCATTTAATTCATGCTTTATCTTTTATTATTGTGAATGTGTGGAAGCAATTAGAAATGATCAAGGCACTTATTTTTTATCGAGTACAACCAGTTCCAAATGCAACTTACCCGTGAGCAGAGAGTATTCTTGAACCCCTTGAGTCTAAACAGTGTGAATTTCAGCCTGAAATTGTGCGAGATTCCAAAAAAATTTTTTTGAACCCTTGAATTTTTTGTTAATTGTTCTCTTTGCCTTAAAAAGTCAAGAGCATTCACTTGAGGGTTGAGTAAAAGCTAAGTTGGGGAGAACGAAAAAGAAGTATGGTAGGTTGCTACAACTCTTGAAAAATCAAGCAAGCATTGAGAAAAAAATTGTTATGTGAATATGATTGTAAAAAAGAAAAAAAAAAGAGAATGTTTGCTTGGAAAAGAAAAAAAAGAATAAGTTGTGAGCTAAGAGTTGGGAAGGTTTTCAAATGAGAAACAAGGGCAAGGAAGTTGTGATGTGTAAATAACTTGTGCAGTGAATGCCTCTTTTGCATCGACAATTTTCTTTCAATGACCTAAGATATGTCCCTTGTTTGTAAACCCGACCAAGCTACAACCGGAAAATACCTTAGTGATCTTCTTTCTTCCATATTTTAATCTATAATTGTTAGATATTGTATGAATTGGATTGATTTTGGCATTGTTTGTTAGTTGAGTGAAATTGTCTCCGCGGTTGCAAACGCGTAATTTCTTCAATCTTTATTCGAAGAGGAGAGATAGGGTGATTCATTCAAGATAACATTGTTGTTGATTGATTTATGTTTTGAATTTCTTTAAGACTTTAGTTCTTGTGTGTTGTTTGATTCTAACCATTGGGAACCTGTGTCTGGTTGCATTCCTTGTGTTTGAGCCATTTAATCCAATTTCGGAGAAATCTTTTTCTGGAGCAAATCCTCTTGTTTCATCAAGAGGCATACTTTGCTTGAGGGCAAACAAGAATCTAGTTGGGGAGAGTTGTTAGATGCCCAAATTTGCTTATTTGATCTATCAAATGTGGGCATCTTTCACTCCTTTTTGTAAAGAAAGTGTTAGAAATCACTCTTACTTTGGTTGGTTTGCAACATATTGTGAAAATATCTTGGTTCCTTTGATTTGTGTGTTATTGTGCAGGAATTAGGCATGAAAAAGTGAATATTAAGACACAAGAAAAAGGATAAAGAAACCAAGTCAGCATGCAAACAACAGCAAGTTCGCTGGGCGAACTTGCTAGCAAAGCTGCCACCAAAACTTCACAAAGTTCGCTAGGCGAACTATGTAGCGAAGGCCAGGAATCGAAAATAGTAAGGAAAGGGCCATAAACTCGCTAGGCGAAGGAGGAAGCGAAGAGCTCGCTAGGCGAAGAGGTAGCAAACACTCCCAGACTTGAGACAGTAAGGAAAAAGGCCATAAACTCGCTAGGCGAAGTTTGCAGCGAAGGCTTCGTTAGGCGAACATTTGTTCGCACTGTGAACATAACAACTCAGCAACCACTTTTATAAGTAGTATGAACTACTTTTTGTAAAAATATCTAATTTTTTATACTTGCATTTGAGAGGGTTTTAAGACCTAGAAAAAATCATTCCTCCATTTCTCATCATCTCTTAGAAATATTTCACAAAAAGATGGTGGATTCCCATCCAATCTCGATTATTCGACTCGGATGTTGATCAACCTTCTTCCAAAACTTGTTGCTCAAGCTATCATGGAAATGGTTGGCTAAATCCCTCTCTTGTCAAAGTTAGAAGTAGTTAGTTCAGATTTTATGTATTCCATTTGATCTTTTGTATATGAACAAATGTTGTGATCAATATAGATGAAGTTATTTGCTACTCTTTGTACATTTATGGTTTGGATTGTTTTAGACATGAACTTTCCAAGTCTTGACCTAATATCTTCATCTACCAACTATACAAATTCTAGACATAGGTTTGAAAGTTGATATCCGCTTTGTATTGATCTTAATGCTTATTGTTTCGTCTGTTACTTAGAGAGATCATTTAACGGTTGAAATAATAACATTCACGAAATCGCTTTACAAATGAACGTTTTTGCGAGGATACGCGGTTATGTTGGTTAAAACTTTGTTCACATATTTGATCGGTTAGATACGTTTAGGACGGACTAGCGAATCCTAATCTTGACATGTTTTTATCAAACTTAGACCGAATTTTATTCAGCTTTAATTCTTGCAAACTTTAGTTACGAAAATAGAAACCATTCTAAAAAAAACCCTTTCTTAAGACATTAAATTGTTGAACGAAAAGCATCTATATTCTCATCAATCCCTGTGGAGACGATAAAACACAACCCCAAAATACTTTCTAACAGACAGCAACCCAGAAAAGTGTGATTTTTGCAGTTTGGAGGCCTTTCGGACCTCCGAATTTGATTCCATAAAAAGTTTCATTTCCAGAATTCGAAATACTACCATTATATGACAATTATAACATCCCACAACACATATTTAAGGATCTTACCATCGTACATCATGTACTCATCAATTTCAAAACCATAGAAAATTGAAATTTTTATCCTAAATATGATACTGCCCATCATACACTATCACACAATCCCATAACCATGTAAAGACCCACCATTGTCTTGATTTTTGATGAGCTTTTGAGTTTTCTCCTTAGGTTTTCTTTTCCCCTTTTCTTTTCTCTATGTTAGTTTCTTTTTTTTTTCCCCTTATTAACTATATTTTTCTCTTTATATATAAAACCCTTATAACAATTAATTCTAGTAACTAATGGGCTTACTAATCATACCTCCACCTTTACTCTTCACATTCTCATCCAATAGACCCAATTATTTTATTTCAATTATTTCTATATCATTTCCATCAAATAAAATAATCTAAATAAATCAATTACGCACAAAATCACACAATTAATTAATATATATATATATATATATATATATATATATATATATATATATATATATATATATATATATATATATATATATATATATATATATATATATATATATATATATATATATATATATATATATATATATATTAAAAATTGGAATGTTACACCCTTCTGCTTGATTAAATTCCTTTACGAGGGATCATTATACTTGGTTATTGCATTTGCTTGTTTGATTAAGGTTCATGCATTCATGTCTATGGTTAATTGCATGTCTATTGTTTCATTCATTCATGTCTATGACCTTACTTAAAAAATTAATTCATGACCATTGTTTCATTCATCTACTCATTCATATTCATTATTTCATTTATTCATTCATGTCCATGGTGTTACTTAAGAACATATGCCTCATTTTCATCCTTTTTTATCCACTCAAGTTCATTTGCATTCAAGATAAATCATTTCTTTACAAAAAAAAAAGCAAAAGTAGTCCATTACTAATGTTACATAAGGTCAAGTATAAATGGTACAAAAAGAAAGGTTGACATTTGATAGGCCAATCACTATATCCCTGCAACATACAACCAATGCATAGTTAGAACAATGTCCACAAAAATTCCATTCTCAGTTTAACAATAGAATAACATGGACGTCATCACCAACTAATCTTAACATATTAACCATTGATTTCAAATGCTAACTATAACAAAATTTTTATAAGTGAACTTCATCACAACTGAACAGAATTATAACACTTACAACTAATTGTAACAGTTTGTCAATCTACATCACAAGCTCATAACCTAATCACATAACTAACCAACATTATTGCATTTCATTCATGCAACTTCAACAACCATGTCACTCATAACAATGCACAACATTAAGCTAACATCACATTCCATACAATAAGCTGTCTGCAACCGAAATTCAAGCATTACTAACTGCACTCCACATACAACAATTGCACATAACAACATTTCATCATTCTAAAATGCATACCAAAATTTGAAAGTAAACTAACGGCAATCAACATAACAGTAACAATCACATTTAAAAATCATAACTAATGCCAATTACATTACATAAAAGGTACCTCATTTAAGATTCCAAATGCAAGAAGAAGTTGTATTTATATTGCATTTACTCCAATGATTTTGAATTTACTAATTCATATCTTCAAGACTTCATGTTCATCCTCTTCTCCCTCTGTTGCATTTTGTGAAGCAGAAAACTCACACTTTCTTCTCCAATATTTTCCATTTTAAGGTTTCTAACTCTACTCTATTCTCTCACTTCACTCACATTATCATGTAGATTTGTAGTAGTCTCTCACTTCACTCATATTATTTAAGAGTTTTTGGATTTTAAAAAATGGAAGTGTAACTTATGGGATTGGTTTTCTCAATTCACTGTGTAAGAACAAAATACCAGAAAAGTATGGTTTTCTCTAGTTACAAGAGTGAGAGAGAAATAAGAAAAAATTACTTTATTTTTATGGTATATTTTATGGAACAGTTGGCAAAGATAAGATTAGATTCGTGTCATGATGCATGTCATGTACAGAAGATAAGATTCATAAATGCACTCTTTCTTAATTATGATATAATTTCATTTTTAATTTTTATCATTTTTAAATTTTGATATAAATAATACATTCTATTTTCACATTTTTATCATTTTTAATTTTTATGATAAATAATACATTCTATTTTTATCATTTTAATTTTTTAATATAATTTATAAAAATTTTAAGCAATAGATATAAATAATACATTCTACATCACTTATGTGTTTTTATTTTTCCCCGCAGTTTTATTTACTGTAAATGTAATGAGAATATTTTCATAAATTTTGACATAATTTGATGGACATAAAAAAGTCAAAGTTTGTGATTTTGTGATGCTTGAACAATTTTTTTAAAACATATTTATAACTAATTATTTATATATTCAATTAATAGGTATTATTGGATAATGCCTCCTCGAGGACAATTTCCAACAAAAGGTTTGAATGGTGCTTCAAGTGGGGATATTGGATGGTATTTTGGAACTCCAGAATCCGGAAGTTACAGTAATGTTCGTTGCAAACTTTGTTATGTAGTAATAAAAGGTGGCATTACGAGATTGAAGCAACATATAACTCAAATTGAAAGGACAAGTTCCGGCTTGTGGTAGAGTAACAATTATGGTTAGAGAAAATATAATGAAACTTTTACTTGATTCAAAAGCGAAGAGAAATGATTCTAAGAGAAGAAAAGAAGAATTTGAAGGACATTTAAGAGGAGATGATGAAGATGCAGATGAAGATGTGAATACTCTTATTGATGATCAATTGAAATATGCAACACAAGAAATCCTTAGATCACATAGAGAATGGGAAAATATGGAACAATTCAGACGAGAAACAAGAGCTTCTAAAAATGTATATGAACATGGTGGAAGCTCTCGTGACAATGTTAGTGGGGCTGAAAGGCAGAAGACATCTCTTTTTCTTTGAGATCTACTAATATTGATCTTGTTAGGAGAAAAAGTATGAAGCAACCAAGAGCTGGTAAAGGCTTTTTGAAGACTTGGAGAAAAAGGCTTGGAGGGGTTGTAAGTAAATTTATATTTACGAGCGTTTGCCTATGAATTTATCTAACTCTCCTTGGTTGCATAATTTGATTTATACTGCTTCTGAAGTTGGAAAAGCCAAATGCCCAACTCCTTATGAAATCTCAAACTTTTACTTAGAAGCTGAATATAAGGAAATGTTGTAGTGGATAAATGATATGAAATTTTTTTGGCAAGAAAGAGGAGCAACAATAATGTGTGATGGTTGGACAGACAATATCAACCATACTCATATTATGAATTTCTTGCTATATTGTCACAAAGGTACTATATTTTAGAAATTTGTCGATGCTTCTGATGTTGATAGTAGAAACACTGACCGCTACTTTCAATTATTGGATAAAGTTGTGGAAGAAGTGGGTGAAGAGTATGTAGTTCAAGTGGTAACAGACAACGAAGCCGCATTAAAATCAGCTGGTCAAAAACTAATGGAGAAGAGGCCACATTTATACTAGTCTTCTTGTGCAATTCATTATTTAGATCTTTGCTTGGAGGATATAGGAAAAAGGAAAGTGATCTGACCTGATCAGAAGGGGATCACGGGCTGGCCACACTCTGTTGGACTACTGCTTGCTCACCGGTGATGAGGAAGAGAAGGGGGGTGTACCTGCAAAACACTCCGATGCCAAAGTGAGAAGTTGGGCAGAGCGATGGCGAAGTACAGAAAAAGGGGTAAGAAGTGTGTTACCTGACCCTCTTGAGGAAGAGGGTATTTATAGAGAGACCCCAACGCTGGGCCAACGGTCATTTGAGGTGGGCTGGATGACCAGGCCCAACCCTAATGACTGCTAGGGCTTACGTGGCGTAGTGAAGACCAGGACGTGGTCTTCGCCCTAGTCCAACTGCTCCTTGATTTCCGGAAAGTGGGTTTGACCTACTCTTTCGGAGGTGGGCAGTTGGTCGATGACGTGTCCCCACGGAGACGAGCACGTGGAGAACGTGCACCGGGCACGTTGTTCTCCCCGCGGAGGGGAACGCAAGGGTGTGGAGGAACAAAAGGTCTCGCTTCGACGCACCGGGGTGTGTCCTGATCGGCCGATAAGAGAGGACGTTGAAAATCCGTCGGACGCGTCGCCTATGGCTGGGGGCGTGCCCTGCTCGTCCTGTGGGACGTGCGTTCCGGTGTGGCCAGTTCACTTATTGGGTCGTGCGTGGTATTGGGCTGGACCGAGGTTGGGCCCAGACCAGAACAGGAGCCCCCCAAGTCGAAGCTCTGGGAAAGAGCGAGGACTTAAGGTCGCTGTGTCGGGGAGAGAGGTAGCGAAACGGGAGGTTCGTTGGGGTTTTGTGCACGGTGGAACGGGCGCTTGCGCGGGGGTCTCCCGTCGCCGGCGGAGCGGGGTGAAAGCAGGTGAAGGGGCGCGACTGTCAGGTTGCCGCCACGTGTCGCGCGTTAAGCGGTCGTAGGGGCGGCTACCCTATGCCATTAATGAGCCTAGCGTCGCTTTGAATCCCGCATCGGGTTATAAATATGGGGGTCCCCGCTCATTTTTCTACTTTTCATTTGATGTTTTACCTGCGAAGCTCTGAGATCCTTGCCCGTCCGCCGTTGCCGTCGATCGCCGCCGCATCGTTTGGTTCTTCCTCCCGTTCGCTGCCGTTACAAGTGAGTTTTTCTTTCTTTTCTCCTTTTATTTCTGCCGTTTGATTAGAATGTGTGGTCGGGGAATGATGAATGCCCGAGGAGGGACGCAAGATCCGCCGTATCTGGCGATTTTCTGATGAATGCCCCGGGGAGAGTCGGTTGTTCCGATGAATGTCCTGAGGACGGAGGCTTTCTCCGATGAATGCCCCAGGGACGCGCGCTTTTTTCGATGAACATCCCGAGGAGGGATGGTGGGTTGGCCCTTAGATGCCCCGAGGAGGATTGGCGGGGAGCGCCAGTTTGCTCGCCGTTCTCTGGCCTTTGTCGCCCTTTCACTTGACCTGCGGTGGAAGGGTGGATTTGATCTTGGCTATCGAATTCACCGTTGTCCTCTGCTTTTCAGGTGTAGATGTCGGCCTTGGTACCGGGGACGATGGTCGAAGATAACGAACCCGAGGTCCCGGATTTTGACGAGCGTGTCGCCCCGGTCGAGGAATGGGTGGCCGAAGAGCCGTTGTCCACCCTGTCCTGCTTCGTGGCCGATGCGTCCGACGTTTATGCCACCGTCGAGGACACGCTTGCAGGGGAGCCGCAACATTGGCAGGTGTATCGCCCGAAGGAGCACCATCGCATCTGCTCGCGATATGGGCAGCGGATGTTCCCTATGCACGAGTTCTACTTCAAAGAGGCTCGGCTCAGGTTGTCGTTCTCCGCCTTCCATCTGGGGCTCTTTGATTGGTTACGCTTGGCCCCGTCCCAACTGCACCCCAACGCCCTAGCCTTTATCCGTGCCTTCGAGGGTGGTGTGCTTCTATCTCGAGGTGGAGCCCACGGTGCCGTTGTTTTTTCGCATCTTCCACTTACAGCGCCAGTCGGTGAACGGCCGTCAGGGATGGGTCTCGTTTAAGCAGTCGACCAAGCTCTTCAAGACGTACAGCGATTCCGTTAAAGATTTCAAAGGTCGGTTTTTCCTCGTGAAACCGATCACTCAACAAGGCTCGGATACTCTTTTCGCCGAGGGCGAGCGAATGGTAGACGGCCAGCGGTTCCTCGTGTGGCTTCCCAAGATACATCTGTTATGGACCGCATAGCACTTCAACCGTGGCACGGATAGGTATATCGTACGAGCGGGGACCCTCGACGAGAAAGATATGGCCGCTTATATGAAAATAGTTGCCTTTGTGCGGGCTCTTCCCCCGTCGAAACTGGTGACGCCCGATGGTCGGTACATCTTCGACGGGCAGGGGAATGTGCGAACCAAGAAGCGGCTGATTAACACTAAGACCCTGCTCGGTTGTGCCACTGGGGCGGCCGCCCTGGATTATCTAGGTAGGGATGTTTCTTTTTTCCCCGTGGTCGGGTGTTCTGGCCGTTGCTAACTCTTTCTTTGTTTTTTTTTTGCAGCGAACATGTCTTCTGTCGAGGAGCGAGTGAAGAAGCTGCGCGCTTCCAGGAATGCCGTGGTCCCGAAGACGCGGGTGAGTCAATTGGTCGGACAGGAGGCTGTGACGCCGGGAGGGCAGAGTTCGTCTTCTTCGCCTCAAGGGAGTCAGTCTCCTACGTCTCAGGGAGCAACGAAAAGGCCGAGATCCGAGGAGCCCAGGGGTTTGATTGATCTGACGGCCGGCTCGGCCGAGGAGGGTTACGTCGTCCCGCCTTGCCATCAGCATCCAGGCTATTTTCATGGTGCTCGATCTCCTACCGTTTCTGCTGGGGAGGTGAAGGTTGTCCGCGAGGCCGATCGAGAGTCTCGTCGACGTGTCCTGGCGGAGGATTTGGCTGCGATGATGCGGACGTTCACGACGGCCCTTGTGCTGAACAAGGAGGGCTGCTCCGCCGCCGAGTTGTCCAAATTGCAGGGGGACCTTACCTTTATGCAGTCGCGTCTGGCCAAGCTTACTGAGGAACTGGAGAAGAGTCAGAAAGATGTTGCTGATCAGCGCAAACGAGCGGAGGGCGCTGAGGGGAAGGTGACCTCGCTGGAGGAGAAGTTGGGGGCGGCAACGGCCGAGGTGCAGGCGCTGAAAGTTCGCATGGAAGTCCTGGACAGCGCGCTTCGTCCGGCTGAGGACGAGACAGAGGAAGACCAGCGGTTGATCACCCGTGCTGATCTGGTTGCCCGGATTCAGGTGCTGGAAGGTGATTGTTTGGAGGCTGTCGAGGTCGGGTTCAAGAGTGCTGTCGCGCAGATCCAAGTTGTCAACCCCGGCGTCGCGCTGGTCGTGGATGGGATCGGGCCGTATCACGAGATCGTCGGCGGGAAGGTGGTCGACCCGAGCTTGTCGTTCCCGAGGAGGTCCCCGTGGCTGCTGATCAGGAGGGTGAAGTAGTCTAGGTTGTCGGGCCTGCGTGCTCGTTGTTTTTATGGCCTGTGTGTCGATGTTTTGTAACTTGCTTTCCTTTGGGCCTGCGCGCCCCGTTTGTGTAATATTAACTACTGGGCTGGTGCCCGCTTTTCTTAATATATATTTTTGTGAATTTTCTAAGTGTGCGCTCGGTATTTGCATGATGTTTATGCTCGTTTTTTCGTATTTATTTGTTTACTTGAATGATGTTTGATGTGCATGCCTCGATATGCTATGGGCCTGTCCGGGTGTTAGCTCGATAAACTTGTTACCGGTGGTGAAGGGAACCGGCTGGTTTGGCTGGCGGCGTGGCCAGGCCGTTTCGGGGGTAGTTCTCCCGAGGCGTGGACGTCCCATCGCGAGTTGGGTGTCTTGCCGATTTTGGTACGGCGGCGGGGGATCTCGGTCGAGGTGTTCCCTGCCGAGCAAGGTTGTCTGCCCGTTGTTGCACCCCAAAATTTGCCCTCACAATACAAGACTTTGTGTTCCAAGAAGGTTCACAAGGTTCACAAAATTCATAATTGGTCAGAAGAGTTGACAATTCCCTCAGACAATGCACCTCCTAAGCAGTGCATCAAAAACTAGGGTTTTGACTTTAATCAGGCTAAATGGACTTCCAAGACTTCAAGTGA